TTTTTTTTTTTTTTTTTTTTTACTGCATAAGCAGGATATGAATTTTCCAAACCTAGGGTGATTTCCCAGTTGGAGAAAGGAGAGGAGCCATGGATAACAGAGAAAGAAGGCCCAGGACATCCCAGTGCAGGTGAGCCAAGGCAGGTGGCAACCTTTTCACATGTAAATAGTATATTTTAAAAAATTATGTTTTCTGTTTGTTCCTGGTATAATAATACAGTTGGTTTTGTATATTGATCTTATAGCCAACCACCTTGTTTCATTCTGTTATTAATTCCAATAATTTGTTTGTACATTCTCTTGGGTTTTCTTTTTCAACTTATAATAATGAAAAGAATAATAAAAGCTGCAATGGTGTTCTTTCCCTACCTTTGGGTAAAATCTCAAAGAGATCCCATAAATGGTCTAGTCCAGCCGTGGGCAAACTACGGCCCGCGGGCCGGATCCGTCCTGTTTGAAATGAATAAAACTAAAAAAAAAAAAGCCCGTACCCTTTTATGTAATGATGTTTACTTTGAATTTATATTAGTTCACACAAACACTCCATCCATGCTTTTGTTCCGGCCCTCCGGTCCAGTTTAAGAACCCATTGTGGCCCTCAAAAAGTTTGCCCACCCCTGGGCTAGGGAATGCCTACAACCTGCCTACCCGCCCAGGCCCCAGGCGAGTTGGGGAAACGGGATTTGCTGATCCATCACTTCAACTGCCTGGTAGCAAGTCCAGAGGTGTAGCCCCACCCCTCCTGGAGAGGCCCCGCTCCACAGCCCAGCAGCCCAGCCTGGTCCCCGCCCATCGCACTAGTCCTCTTCCCTCTCCTGCTGCCCCTTCCGGGCTTGAGGACCTTCAGCAAGTTCACGCCCTACGCGTCGCCCTACCCAAACCCCGCCCCCTGCACTTCCAGGCTCCGCCCCCGCGTGCGGGCCACCTTCCCTCCAGGGCTGCCCCTGCTCCCGCCTTAACCCGCAAGGGCGGCCTTGGAGCAGTGCCGTAAGTCCTCCAGCGAACATGG